ACTGAGATCTTATGGAAATATCTGCATTTTCTGAGATTTCATGGTCCTGCTTCTGAGGGCAGTAGTGACTTCAGCAATTTGAGACACACTTAAACCTATTTGGGTATAATTGCTGACTTTTTTTTTTTTTTTAAGTATTCTGTGTCTAGATGTTCTGACCTATATAGATGAAAGTTCACTTAACCAAGAACCTATGATTCTATTTAATTTTTACCACTTGCTCCTTGACGATTTTAAAGTATCATTTATATAGGCTGTTGCACGAACTGGTTTCTAATCACGAAACAATTTTAAATGTAATTGTGGAATTTTACAAGCATTTTCTTAGTTTAGGTTTATCAGATTTTTCATACCCCAAACCCATCACATACCACTTAGTTTTTATTGATGTTGTTCAGATTATAGATGAAGCACAACCAGACTGACTTTATGTTCCTTAAGTTCTTTTTGCAGATTTTATTTCTTTCCCCAGTGAAATGTACGTTTTGGTAGTCTTAGGTCACTTGATCTGTTGTATGACTAATCAACAGGCAAGTCATGGAAAAGGTCCCAGTGGGTTACTCCTTTTCTATGTAGAGTTTGGGAAAACCTGTTATCCTCCATTTACCTCCGATTCCTCATTTGGGAACCATGACAGCAGAATGATACTGATTCGTAAGAGAGTGAGCCCACTCACATGTTTTAAACAAACAAGGTACTTGGGTTTGCTTCAGTAATTCCACAGGTCTGAAATGAGGCCTGAGATTCTGCATTTCAACCAACCTCCAGGTTGATGCTGCTAGGTCTTGATCACACTTTTTAGTAGTAAGAGTAGTAGAAAAGGGCTTGTGTTCTCCATCTGAAATCTAAAAATAAGGAGACTCTTGAAAGACAAGAATGGCAGCATTTTTAAATGGATTGATAAAAAATATATAATTATAATCTTATAGGTTACATCCCCAAGTAAAGACAGTCTATTTAGTAAATGTTGTTGGGAAAATTGGACAGATAATGTGCAAAAAAATGAAACTTGACCACCATCTTACACCATGCACAAGAATAAACTAAAAGTAGATTAAAGACTTAAATGTAAGACTTGAAACCATAAAAACCCTATAAGAAAACATGGGCAGTAAAATCTCGGACATTTCTTGTAGTTTTTTCTTCCGATCTCCTCAGGCAAGGCAAACAAAGGATAAAATAAATGAGACTACTAAAAAGTTTTTGCACAGCAAAAGAAAAAAAAAAAAGAGACAGCCACTGAATGGGAGACTATATTTGCCAATAATACAATACATCTGATAAGGCATTAATATCCAAAACTTATGAACTTATACAACTCATCACCAAACAGTCCAATAAAAAAATGGGCAAAGCACCTGAATAGATACTTCTCCAGAGGACATACAGATGGCCAATAAACATATGAAAAGATGCTCAAGGTCACTAGTAATTAGAAAATTAAAATGAGATATCACCTCACACCTGTCAATGGCTAACATCAATAAATCAACAAACAATAAGTGTTTGTTGAGGGTGTGGAGAAAAGGGAACCCTTGTGCACTGTTTTGAGGATGGAATGTAGGTTGGTGCAGCCAAAGTGGAAAACAGTATGGAGTTTCCTCAAAAAATTAATGAAACTGACCCAGTGATTCCACTTCTGGGAATATATCTGAAGATACCCAAAACACTTAATTCAAAAGAATATATGCACCCCTATATTCACTACAGCATTGTTTACATAGCCAAGATTTGGAAGCAGCCCAAGTGCCGATAAGCAGACAAGTGGATAAAAAAGCTGTGGTACATGTACACAATGGAATACTACTCATCTGTATAAAAGAAAGAAATCCTACCTTTTCCGACAGCATGGATGGAGCTGTAGAGTATTATGCTAAGTGAAGTAAGAGAAAACAAATACCATATAATTTCACTTATATGTGGAATCTAATGAACAAAATAAAGTAGAAACAGACTCATAGATACAGAAAACAGACTGGCCAGAGAAAAGTGGGCTGGGGCTGAACAAAGGTGAATTTTGGGAGTAAGCAAAAATAGCTTGTAGACACAGACAACAGTATGGTGGTTACCAGAGAAGCGAGAAAGTAGAGTTGGGAGGTAGAACAGGGAAAGGGATAAATGGTGACTGGAAGAGACTTGACTTTGGGTGGCAAACACAATACAATAAACAGATGTATTAAAGTTGTATACTTGAACCCTATGTAAACTTATTAACCAGTGTCACCCTGGTAAATTCAATAAAAAAAATACAGATACCTCCCCAGGTAATGAACAACTTAATAGTTTTTAAACACGGTTAACTTTTACTTTGACCTGTGCCTTCTCTGCAATTGATGGCACTCACTGTCTGCATCATTTGATTTTTTTGTTAGTCCATCTCTTATTGATATTCAACTGTTTTATATGAGTATCTTGTATCATTGCTTTAAGATGATAAAATCATAACACAGGGGTATGGCTTATGTTACCTTTATACTCTGTTCTAGTTACTGCTGCATAGCATACTGTTCCGAAAAATTTAAACACTTTTTCTTTCTTCCCTCAGATTCCTATGGACTTTACATAGTGGGGACAACTTTTCTTTACTCCACAATGTCTGGGGCCTTTGGTGGGAGATTTAAGACGTGGGAGTGGCTTGATGGCTGGAACCTAGAATCACTGAAGTGTCTTCACTTACATACAGGGTGGGGCAAAAATAGGTTTCAGTTGTTCATATGGAAAATAATCTGTATATATAAAAGCCTAAGTGACTAGCCGATTGGCCGGTAGCTATGAGACGCACTGACCACCAGGGGGCAGGTGCACAACACAGGAGCTGCTGAGCAACAGCAACTTTACAGAGTGCCTTCTCCTACTCTGGTTTCGGCCCAATCCCCCCAGGCCAGGCCGAGGGACTCCCACTGGTTCACGAATCTTTGAACTAGTTCAAGAATAAACTGTTTCATGTACTCACAATTGTAAACCCACATATGACCATCCATGTGGTAACTTTATTGAGCTTCTTTGAGCTTCCTCATAGCATAGCAGCTTAGTTGCAAGAGCAAGTCCCAGGAGAACGGGTAGAATAATCTAGTCTTCGTGGTGTCGTTTCTACTGTACTTTTTTGGTCGAGTTGGTCACATTGTAAGAGGGTCATATGGGATGGGAGATAGTGGGTAGTCTTGGCAAATTCTGCCATAGTCCCTAACAACACTCAGAACAGTGTTGAACACATGTCATGAACTCAGTCAATATAATTGTGTGAATGAGTGATATAATTTAAATGCCCAGGTGGATAAGGATGAAATTAAAAAATTCAATTCCACATGTGAACAGATTACCCCATTATATCCAAATATATACCTTCGTCTTTTATAGTTTCTTCTCTATTTTCAACAGGGGAGTCTATGAATTTATCATATGGTACTAAACTTGTTAAGTAAGGCCTTTGCGTCTATGTTGCTGTTAGCAGAGGTGTGGAATGTCTGGCCTGCAAAATCATTTGGTCTGGCCCTGCCAAGGCATTAGGGGTGAGTTAGTTAAATGTTTGACCAAATACTAGCATAGTAGTCTGATGATTAAGTTGATAATTTTGCATGGCCCAAAAATGATGTTATAAATACCCAAATGGCCCTTGGCAGAAAAAAGGTTCCCCATCCCTGCTCTACTGGCATGCTTTTTTCCCCATTCTCATCAAGTGGGCTGCCCACATCCTTCTTTGGGCCATAATGTGTTCTCCATCCAGCAGCTGGCTAATGTCGGATAGATGCAGTTAATGGGCTGGTGACCCACATGAGCACACTGAGATGTGCAGCCAGGTCACGACTAGAAAGCAGTTATTTTAAAGCTGTGTGTCATCCTGGGGAATACCTGTGGCCAAACCAAAATGCGGACTCTCAGACTTGAGCTTTATGTGTATTTATCCTCATCCCATGACACCATCATATCAGTTATATGGTGGGAGAAGCAAAAATCATCCCGCCTCCAAATGTGTAACACGTTCAAGTATATTAGCCAAATCACTCACGTTTTCTAGATGACAGAGAACAATTTGTGAATATTTTTATTTCACTTTAAAAATAAAACTCAAATGTTGTTGTATTTTTTCTTTAATGAAAAATTGCCACACTTTTTTTCTTTGTAAGAGTGAGTATATTAACTTTCCCCAATAGAACACATTTCTGATTTAATAAATGAAAATTAATGAAGGAACTAGTATTGCAATGTAAGCTAAAATGCTTCTATTTTTAAAAGGGTGACGTTTGGAGAAAATGTCGCCCTGGCTGGTGTGCTAGGTTGAGCATTGTCCCGAGCACCAAGAGATTGTTGGTTTGATTTGTGGTCAAGGCCTTGTCCCTGATGGGGGGTATGCAGGAGGCAGCTGGTTGCTGTTTCTCCCTTTCTCTTTCCTAAAAATCAAACTACTAAAAAAGAGAGAAAATGCAATTATATAGGTTTTCAGTTATAAAAAAAAATAACATTGTAGGCCTCCAGCATATTAGTATACTGAGACCCTCTGAAATTCCGAAAGCTAAAACCACTTTAATCAGGTCATTTTACACAGTCTTCTCTCGCACCGCTGTAGCCATTTTCTGCTTATTCAACACGAGGCAAAATTTCAGTAGATAGAATTTCAGTTTTTTAGCTGTGGATTCTAGTGGTTGTCATTTTTTTTAAAAAGGGGAAGTGCTCTCTGTGGCACTGGGATGGATGCTCCAAATAGACTGTGACTCCTGGCAGCGATTCCAAGTCTGTTCTAGGTATGGACACCACATCCCAGGAGCTCTCCATTGCAGGGAGTAGTTAATTGAGATTTCAGGCCTTGTGGGCAAATACGAATTCATTTGTTTAGCACTTTGATGCTTATTATTCAGAGACCTGCAATCATCTCTGATGCGACCAGCTGCTTATAACTTGTAAAAGAAATACGTCTCTGGGTTGGTTTAAGACAGTTCCTCATTTTTGTTTTTTATCCCAACCTACCCTCTTCCCCGAGCCAGAAAAGGCATTTTCCCCTGAAGAAATGCAGCTGTCAGAGCAACTTGGAAGGGCTGAGTTGAACCCCAGGGACAGCGATGTGGATTCCTTGGCTTTCTCTATGGCCATCCTCATCCGAGACCAGTGTGCTGCAGCGGGAGTGGTATTCATTCAGAGCACCTTGCAATCTTTGACCCCTCAAATGTGGGTCAAACTTTCCTAATATTCTTTTTCTGTCTCCCAGTACACATTTACTAAGTTGATTTTGACACAGTTGTGATATAATACTCATTTTTTTTTCCTTTATGATCAGAATCTGTCAACCTTTGAACTGAGCAACACTTCTTGTTGTGCCTGCTCTGGGACTTCTTGCTGAGAGTCCTCTGCTATCTAGATTTTCCACATTGAGCAGGGAGTTATCACCAGCTTGAGAGCCTAATTGTGTTTATTATACAGTGATTTTGCTTTTTTAAACTATCAGGATTCTGCCAGGGAAAGACTTGGAAGTGGCAAGACACTGTGCTCTGCTACAGGACAGGATGTTCTAATAAATGTAAAAGTTCTGCACATTTCCTCTAACACCACATCCGAGAATCTTATGTGACTACTTCCCTGTTCTCTCTCATAATACAATTGCGCCGATCTCCCTGTACCCCTGTATCAGATGTGGGCCTCAAAAGAAGGGTGTAACCTTGGGTGAGGCAGCTCCCTGCGGACAGGGGCAGTTTCTGCGGAGGGACTTGTAACCTCCCAGCACTCTGAGTGCCTCCGGCTTGAAGGGGCAATCTGGGTGGCCCACCACAGCAACACCTGGGAAATGTTTTACCAACTTTAATTATAATGGCCTAAAATCAACACAGTTTCCTTCAGCAGGTGAACAAACCGTGGTATATCTATCTATATAAAGGACAGGACTATTGATATATTCATCAACATGGGCAGTGTGGCTCAGATGGTTGGAGCATTGTCCCGTATAGTGAAAATATCTTGGGTTTGATTCCATCAGGGCTCATGCAGGAGGCAACTAATCAATCAATGTTACTCTCTATAAAGTCAATGAAAGCATGTCCTCCTTGAGGATTAAAAAAAAAACAACTACTACACTTAGTGAAAATCAGAAAATTGTTTCCTCCCCCCAGCAAGAACACTACCCTGTATGTCCTCTGATTTAAAAAGATCAGTGGTTGCTAGGGAGTGGGCTAGAAAGTGAGGGAGGGATGAATATAACAGAGCATGAGGAAATTTTGTGGGGGGTGATATCAATAGATTTTTTCCCCAAGTCATATTGTCTCCAGTGTATGCCTATGTCAAAGTTCATCAAATTGTACACCAGTTATGACTCAAGAGCTGTAAAACTATTAAAAATTTAAGTGTGATGGTTACTTGGGGGAAAGGCAGAGGGACAGGTGCTCATCGTCACATCTATAATAATAAAAAAAAAAAGCCTAAGTGACCGTCGCGGCCTAAGGAACAATTCAACAGGCTGTGTGGGGCGACCCAACAATCGAGCAGCAGGGCATGGAGGGGGACAGTTAGGAGCCAGTGGTCCTGGATTCTGAGAGGGATGTCTAACTGCCAGTTTAGGCCCCATCCTGGGCAGTTGGACATCCCCTAAGGGGTCCCGGATTGGAGAGGGTGCAGGCTGAGGGGGAACCCCCTAGAACTCCCCTCCCCGTGCACAAACGGCCTCTAGTAAATGAATAAATAAAAAGGGCCAACGTGGAATTCCAGGGGGAATTCTTTTGAACTTTGGCCACATGCTTGCCTCCTTGTGTTTCTGCAGATCTAATTTATATCCACTGTGATCAGCTCGCTCCTAACTTGCCAGAGCCAGACCCAGGATTCCAGAGTAACCAGACCCCTCCCAAGTGAGTAGCCCAACACTACCTCTGCCTGTAGAACAAGGGATAGTCTTGTCCGACTGGAGTAACTTCAGGCATTTCTACAATACCCTGGCTGGAACCACCCTTCCCAGGGGGCACAGACTATAAAGCAACGTGCATCTGAAGTGAGAGGAACTGATGTCTAAAATCCCAGGAAGCCAAGAGTTGTGTTTTCTATTGTTACTAATATACAATATGTTGTTACATAGAACTTACATAATATCGAATGTCTTATAGTAAGTAAACTCTGTGCTAATGAGGATATATATAATATATACACATATCTTTAAATATTAAATTCATTTTAATTCAACACATCTAAAGCCAGTGAGATTCACCTTGGAGCTTAGAATTGGCTAAGGTGAAGTTTTTCAACCAAACCCAGGGGCTCAGGTCAGCTAAAATGCTTTAAAAAAAAAATTATTTATTTTTTACAGAGGAAGGGACAAGGTTAGAGAGTTAGAGACATTGATGAGAAACATCAACCAGCTGCATCCTGCACACCCCCTACTGGGGATGTGCCCACAACCAAGGTACATGCCCTTGACCGGAATCAGTCCACAGGCCGATGCTCTATCCACTGAGCCAAACTGGTTTTGGCTAAAATGCTTATTAACTTAGACAAATGATTTTAGAGACCATGGCTTTCAAATTACCTGGAATTATTTCCACAGAAATACCACAGCACAAACTTCCAAATTATTCAGATGTCACAAATATGAAAGGAGGAACTTTTTTTAAATAGTAAAGGGCTAAAGTGACCATATATCCTGGATTTTCTGTCACTGACCCAATTCAGTATCTTTTTAGTCTACAAAGGCAATTCATTGAATAGATGGTATCATAAGCTCTCTTTCTAGAATTAGACATGAAGATAGGCAACAGTCCCTGAAAGAAGGGGTCAGAATTTGATTTCTTCCTAATTACCAAGAAACTCATTTCAATAAAAGCAAAACCCTACAAGATTACTGGTTCAGAAATCAGCAGGGCCCTGGCTGGTTTGGCTCAGTGGATAGAGGGTCAGCCTGCGGACTGAGAGGGGTCCCAGGTTGCGGACTCGATCCCCAGTGGAGCGTGAACAGGAAGCAGCCAATCAATGATTCTCATCAATGATGTTTCTCTCTCCCTTCCTCTCTGTAATCAGTAATATATTAAAAAATAAAATTAAAAAAAAAGCAGCTGGGCATGCCTCTGTTTTCCATTTTCCTAAAATAGGATATTTCCATTTAATGCCTTTTTAAACAAAGAAAAACAATCGCCAGAGTGCTGAGTTTTACATAAATTTTACATATTGGTATCTTAGGCTACTTTTCCTGATAATCCTTAGATGATGTGCATACGTCCTTGAAAGAACATACTCTATATCATAGAAAATAACCATTTCTAACCCTTTTTCCTTCCCATTCCACAAATATGCAGAAGGCTGTGATGAATCAGTACTATATAAAATACTGACAGGTACCTGTATTTTGCAGGACGGAGACTAATTTCGGATTCCCTGGTGGAGGAAAATAAAACGCTCTGGTCTCGCTTCCAATGATGCAAGTGTGATCGTCAGTGTCTTCATGAGCTCCAGAGGTCACAGCACACTACCACGGACTCTCATGGCCCCTCGGATGATTGCTGAGGGAGACGTAGGAGGCATCGCTCAAATCACCTCCTCTCTCTTCCTGGGCAGAGGCAGTGTGGCCTCCAACCGGCATCTCCTCCAGGCTCGTGGCATCACCTGCATTGTTAATGCTACTATTGAGATACCCAATTTCAACTGGCCCCAGTTCGAATATGTCAAAGTGCCTCTGGCCGACATGCCTCATGCCCCCATTGGACTATACTTTGACACGGTGGCCGACAAGATCCACAGTGTGAGCAGGAAGCATGGGGCCACCTTGGTGCACTGTGCGGCAGGGGTGAGCCGCTCAGCCACCCTCTGCATTGCTTACCTGATGAAATTCCACAGTGTGTGCCTGCTGGAGGCATACAACTGGGTGAAAGCCCGGAGGCCTGTGATCAGGCCCAATGTGGGCTTCTGGAGGCAGCTGATAGACTACGAGCGCCAGCTTTTTGGGAAGTCGACAGTTAAAATGGTACAGACACCTTATGGCATAGTTCCAGATGTTTATGAGAAAGAGTCCCGACACCTGATGCCTTACTGGGGGATTTAATGCCAGCAAAGCCTGCATCAGCAGCCCCTCCAGCAGTACCAGCATCTGCTACACAGTGTCTGCTCCCCTCTTCACCTTTCTTTTCAAATGGTTGACTTTTTGGTTCTCCCTGAAGTGTTCAGGTTTATTTTAAGAGGTAGGGAGGAGGGGAGGAACATAAGGGGAATACATACATTGCTAATAACATTTTTAAAACTAACATTTTGGAATAGTGTTTATGAAAATCTTTGACTAGCTCTTAAATCATTTTTAATAATTTGAACAGTTTAATAAACTGATTCTGCTCTATCTTGAATCCCATGCCTTTTGGCATGAAAGGTGCAAGAGAAGCTCAGTGCAAAAATCACTTTGGGCTAATCCTGTAGAGACAAGCTTTGCCTAAGGCTTCTGACCACACAAGTGCTTAGGAAGATTGATACCGTCTTCAGTCTCTACTGGATTAGCCCTACTCTTTCCTTTTCCCTTTATTATTTAGTATCTTTGTAAGGTAAAAAACATCTTTATTATTTAGCTGTTAATTATAACAAAATCTGCTGCAAACACCCTCTTGGAATCAATGTGCCCCAGACTATATTATTTTTAATAAACCTGACTGCTTAACATATTAGAATGTTTAAGAAGAATTTTAGGGTGTGTGTATTATGTTGAATGGAAGAAAGATGCTCTCCAATAATTGTTATAATATGGCTTCTGTGACAATAATGAACTTTACTGAAAATAGACATCCCAGCTGAATCATATCAACATTTCACATCCTGGCTGATACCTTTTACAGTGCTGGAACTGAAAAACAGCATAAAGTGTACACTCTGACAAAAGGCAGTTTTCAGTAGTCTCTCGGTAACTTTAAGTGCACCAAAGCAATGAATTCTCCATCAAACAATTTGTTTTTTCACAAAAGAAGTGTTTTTGCTTGACTATTAACATGCCCTAACCTAAAACTAGTGTTAAGCAAATAACAGCAGCTTCCTCAACTGGCCCTTATGAATCTGACAACTCACCAGGAGTTGTAGGTAAGTGGTAATTATTCCATGTTCCTGGGAAGCCACTGGGCATTAGCAGGTTGCCTAATTTTTAGGAAGGGGAGCCACTTGCCACAGCACTGCTCTTTTTCACCCATTTGCTAGGTAGGCTATAGCTAGCTTGGCTGTGGAATACTTTTCTAAAATTTTAGTCTATTCTGGTAAGAAGCTAGGAATATAATGTCAGTGGCTGCATATTTATATAAATTATATCTTCCAAATTTTACCTGGTCAGTGGTTTCCATCTAAATTCTACCTTTTCTTTCATATCACTTGCCCACTTTTACAACCACATATATCATCACTGTCTAAATAGAAAAATTCAAAAGAAGCTAATAGTTTCTCTCTGGGAAATAAGAGGAACCATAAATGCTACATCAGCACATAATCAAAAGAACAACAAAAACAACAACAAAATAATACTATGGCTCTGGAGGCCATGGCTGCTTTAGTATGAAGGCAAACTTAAGTCTGATAGACTCTAGATAAAGTCCAAAATAATCATTGCACTCTAGTAAGAAAATACTTAGTGATATGTTCTTGGTAACTAAGGAAAATTTCCTGCAGAAATCCTGGCAAACACCACCACTGTGATAACTAAGAGCATCCTTAGCCCCAGGGAAGTTTAACACCTTTCTAATCCAAATGTCAGAATTTATTAGGACCAGCTATTAAAGGAAGATGTGTAACCTACAAGATATTAGGGGAATTTTTGTAGTGATCCCCAGTACAGGGCAAGCATTTCAAATTTCTGTAACATAAAGACTATAATTTTCAAAGCTTAAGAACACAAGTCATTAAATAAAAGCCAAGTAGAAGGTATCTTTAAAAGAAAAAGTATATGTACACAAAATTCTCAATTTAAAATACTCAACCTAGAGTGCCACGGGAAAAATAAAGAATGGATCATATCCTAATATACTCACTTCTACCTTCAGCATATCAGCACAAAAATAACACTATGCCAAAACGTTTTTAAAGGCAAAATACAATTTTAAAAAAGGGCTTATTAATCACCTCTTAAACAATGGGTGAAACTGTCCGCACGATACACAGTAAGTAACCTTGGTTACTGTTTCCAAGGACACGGCTCTTGGCTAACGAACTGAGGTGAAGCTGAAGGCAATGTTGAGTCATTTTAATAAATGCATTCATCAACACAATGGTACCCACACTCCCCAAGTCTTTGGTGGTATCTAATAAGACACTTCTACTATTACATAGATATGAAAGTAATGAATACTTTTCATAGCAAAGGCTTTTTGTTGGTGGTTGCCATATTTTCCTCTTGCAATTTCCCATGGAGTGACTAAATCTACCATACTTGATAAGGTCAGCAGTAATATGTAGAATTTTATCTGAGGCATTCTGGAATATATCTGGGAATGGGAACCAATCTAGTTAGCATACTTTAAAAAATGTTACTGATAAAGACCATTGTGAAAATAACAACACATATGGCATTTAAGAAAGTCTTAGCGATGTAAATTCTGTCAAACCGTGTGGTATTTTTATAGCAAAGGTAGATTTTGTTATGGAATGCATAAGACCAATCAGAAGCCTGCTTGAATTTAGGTGCCATTTGAAACCCTAGGGGCTGCTCCCGCTGAATTAGAGCACAGAAGCCTCAGGAAAAGCCTGCTACAAACTGGTCCACAAGTGTTGTTACTGGCACTCTACAGCCTCATGGAGGGCAAAGGCTCTGAAGGGAGTAACAATTCAGAGACAGCTGTCTCAGTCCTTATCTGGAGATGGCATCGGCTGGAGCAAATGAGAAAAACAGACTTACCTCATCAACACTTCTCTACGTTCTGATGCACAGCAAGGTAAAAGAAGCGTCGACTGCTGTTCATGGAAATGTAAACCTTTTCTGGAGAGGATGGAGGTAAAGGTGTAAGATGGAGCAAGACAATTCCTCAAGTTCTGTCCTGAGAAGGGAAAGTAATCTAGTTGATTATGCAAGGCAGCAATTATATTGGCAAAACCAAATTTTTCAGTTACAAATAAAAACTTACCGTATTTTTCGGACCATAAGACGCACCAGTTTTTAGAAAAGGGAAATGAAGAAAAAAAGATTCTGAAACAGTGTCCTAAAATATTTTATGTGCATTAAAACCCAACATCACAGTCATAAACACATGTAATCAACCCTGTAAAGTAAACAGCAGCATTTAGAACCATTTTAGAGCCGGGCAAGCACACACAGACCACACAGAGCCGGGCAAGTAAAAAAACTTTTTTTTTAAAGTATATGTGTAGGCTAAATTTGGACCATAAGACGCAGGGACTTCCCCCCCCCCCCCACCACTTCTGAGGGGAAAAAAGTGCGTCTTATGGTCCGAAAAATACGGTAAGTCTAGGTCAGTCAGCACAAGTCATATAAAGTGAAATATAAAAGATTCAAAATCTCTTCATAAAGCACATAATTAACACCTTAGAAATGTGTGTCCTAAACTGGCATGTTCTTCCTAGGAATGACAGTCCTAACCATTTGGCTTTCCCCCTGATTTGATGTATTAGTTTCAGGGGCAAAGACAATCCCCTACAATAGCATGAGCTTTTTCATTCTAAAGTTCAGTGCTGCTTTTGTGAATAATTTTCTTCCACTACTTCTAAGTTCTGTTACCTTTACCATAAATGCACATCACATCCACCTCTCAAGGCCAGGAATTCCACCTTCCAACCTTAAATTTTCAGGTCTCTCACGTAGATACTGCAAAGTTCGGCAGTACTGGTACATAGGCAGTCATTTTTGGAAATCTGGACAGAGCCCACCGCAAAAAGATTTCATTCAGCTGCCTTTCCAAATCTTGTCTGGAAAAAAAAAAAAATACCACGTTCACAGTCATGAGGTAAAATTGAAGGCTTTCAGCGAAGGCCCCTAACGGGAAGAATATCATTCTGATCCTCAAGGATTGGGGCTTCTGTCAAAATGAACTTTCTCCACTGCAAAGTACCCAGGCATGTTTGAGGAAAAGTCTTCTTGAAATTTGATAGTTTTAGAAATGAATGCAGGGAGAAGAGAAATGGTAAATTGGTTCAGTTGCATCAGCAAAGTTGGTAAATCTGTACTTACCTACCTGGCCTTGTTCAATGGAGACAGAATTTTTTTTTTAAGAAAAAGAACATCAGTTTAAATCACAATTTCCCCTCTTTATTCATTTCAAATAACACACTAAATGCAGATAAATGCACTCTACTTCACAGGACAATAAATAAGCTCTGGCTCAACACATGCTTGCCAATTCCAGTCCTACGACGATTTATTTTTCTTCAAATGACAAATCTTCACAGTTTCAATACTGCAGCAGCAAATTACTGTGGTCCATATTTGAAAACATCTTAAAAGAACAAGTGATAAGTGAGCAACCTCGGGCCACATGCAGTTTGGGGAGGGCAATTTCACCGCAAATCCCAAAGACACCGTGGAACCAGGCAACAGGTCCTCTGACTGGGAATGTGCGCAGCTTTCCCCGCCCACCTCTTGAGGAATTCTTCATTTAAATTCACAGAGGTGAACTCTGCAGGACTTGCATTCTGTTCATTGGTCCCTGCCGCCCATGGGGGTGATGAAAAACCACCACCACCACCCAGCTGGTACTTCATAGAGGAGCTTTTCAGAGCAAATCAGGCAGGATGAGGCCAGGAGGTTTTGGTTCAACACAATTGATCCAGAAGTTGGCACAGCTGGCATGATACTGGTGTCCTCCATATGCCAGCTTGAAATTATCTGTGTCTGAGTTGAATGCCTGCCAGAAACAAACAGACGTGTGCAGCAAGTCAGCCTTCTGCACCTAAGAGCTGAGCAGCAACCAGCATGCACACTTCACCAAGTCATAGAGGCCCACAAATGGCACACATACAAAAGCTGAGCAGGTATTTATATACACAGAAATTCAGGTGAGAAAGTTATTGCTGCTAATTAAAGGGATAAAAGTATTTTTACTATTAAACCCAGTTTCAGCAAAAGACAACCAAATTTGTCACAGAAAAGGCAGAGTCTAGGGCAGTGATCAGCAAACTCATTAGTCAACAGAGCCAAGTATCAACAGAAATTTCTGTTAATGGAAATTTCTCTTCAGAGCCAAATTTTTTAAACTTAAGCTATATAGGTAGGTACACTGTTATTAACTTAATTAGGGTACTCCTAAGCTGGCCTTTGCTAAAAACTCAAGGGGCCACAGAGCCGCATGTGGCTCGATGACCACTGGACTAGGGGATTGGGAGGAGGGGTGTCATGATACAGGGAACTAGCCAAGAGCTGTGGCTAATTTTTATCTCTCATTGTGCTGAAGGAATAAAGGCTGGCATGTGACTATCACATGTAATCCCTTAAGTTTCTGTGGCTAATTACCGACCGACCATGAAAGACAACAAAAGATTATGAACTCTTAGGGTCTAATGCCATTGGGAGCTGGTAACTAAATCAACATAATGAAAAAGTCCAAATAGGGACAGGGTTCATAATAAATAAAGATATTAAACATATAAGAATTATTTTTGGATAAATAAGGCTTATAGGTGAGTTACAGCTAGCCAATCCTAACCACCTCATGTCCAAGAGTGCTTTTTAAAGCA